GTATTAGTTCTTATCTTTTTAATTGTACTGCTCAATAAAATTACTATTAAAAAAAAAAAAAGAAAACTGCAGGGTTTAGTCCAGGCAGTCACCAGGAGTCAAGACTGACTTGGACTCACACACACACGCATAAATATCAGCAAAGCTGTTGTAGTAGAATTCCTAGATATGACAGGAGACTGACCAATTTCCTCTCTGTTCTCGCTGCCAGGATCAGGCAAGTAGACAAGAATTTCAGGTTGGGTAAGTTCTCACGCTGTAACATTCATAAGCATCAATACGGTTTTAAGCAGAAAAGGGATGGGGAAGAATCTTTGGTAGTAGTAGTGTTGGTTGTTAGCAACCTTTATAGGACATGCTAATTGGTGGTTATTCTGCTGCCAGTCTGCTAACTCTGTATCAGATTCTCACAGATAACCACCAACTTGCACTATCAGACATTGCACAGTGCTAAATACTGCCTCTGGGCCCCTTTAGTCTTCTCTGAGATTCTGGAAAATGGTTGCAACTGAGCTCTTTTTCTGTCCCCTACCTGAAGATGAGAGCCAGCCTTGCAGAGGTGGATGGATATTGCACTCTGAAGACCAGAGATTCTGAGCTATCAGAATCTCCACTCTGATAAAAGAGTATAAGATAAAAGACTGTAAAGGTTCTTTTGTTAATGCCAACTCATTACATATTCAAAATGCCAAATGCTTGAGGATTAAATTGCAAGAGATATCCTGGTTTTAGAACATACATTGTACTTTTTCCTAATATATCTCACAATAATCAGAGCAGGGCTATTTCCTCAAGGTTACATTGTCACCAACCAAAGCACCATCTTCTGACTCTCTCTTACTTCCTTTCAAGCAAATGGGTAATCGGTAATTTCAGTATATGTACTAATAACCCAAGACCGTTGGAATTGTTTTTAATCTATTCTGAATGTAGAAATAGGTGATCTTGAGGAGGGCATTCTCCCACATTCTCCCTAAACAGCATCTCTGCATATAACTCATGCAGCAGATGAGTCAAAGATGGAGGAATGTGCCAAGGTACAGTCAGGGAAATAAAAGTAGGGGAGAATTCGCTCGCCACAGATACTGCAGAAGAAATGAAGTGATACAGGCCCATTAAAGCAAAAGTGGGGCAGATGTGATTCTTAGAGGTGGTTGAGCTACTGGTACTTCCAGACTACTGACATTTTTACTCCCCAGACTCTTAGTTTAATCAGTGATGTTCTTCACATCTGTGGACCTCATATACAGGTAGACCTTGCTTAGTGACTGCCTCATTTAGCAAACATTTGCAGTTACGACAGGGATGAAAAAGTAACTTTGTGACCAATCCTCGCATTTATGATCTTTGAAGGTCTGTAAAGCAAAGGAAAGCTGAAGTAAGATCATAAGCACAGTTGTGGTTTCATTTAGTAACTGCTTCGCTTAATAACCCAGTGGCTGGTCCCAATTGTGGTCGCTAAATGAGGACTACCTGTATTCAGAAAAAAGAATGAAAATCACTGCCTATCCCCAAGCTGCTACTGGTTCTGTAGCTACAAAAATCTCTTTACCTCCATGCCATACAAAAGAGAAAGAAAGGAAGGAAAACAAACAAGCAAAGAGATAGCCTAATACTTGGCATTCTGATTC